GCCCTGATAAACCTCAAAATCAAGGACGAGACCGTTTGGTGAGGCAAGCACAAATACCTTCAGGCCAGTAGAGTTTGGCTTTCCTGACTGGGCAACGGCCTGTGAACGGGATGATTTGCTCATCAATGCGTACTTTGTCACACCTTGGAAGGCTGAGACAATCTTGCCTTACATGGTCAAGCAATGGTCTGACTCTCCCAAGAATGTCTGACTTCTTTGTCTCTTCAGTCACATCCAGGTCATTGACAATCTTAAGTGAGCTACTTAGCTTGTAGAACCTGTCCCTTGTCATCTTCTTGCTAATGACTGGTACTTTGTTTTTTTTTAGCACAAAACATTTTCACTCTGGGATAGCCAAGGCAGGCCATGTGGACTGATATGCCAAAGAAAATGTTGATTTCTTGGGCAGTAGTATTCAGTGAGACTCCTGTAGTTTTGTCACTGATGTACTGTGAAAAGTACTGTATTGGACTCCAGTATTCACATATTTTAGGGTCATCGGGATAGGCAGGAAGCCCAGGTAGCACAGGTGTGAATCTATTATAATGGGATGGGATGGGGGAAAAATTAAGTTAATAAAAACAACATTTTTTAAACATCAATTTTTATTATTGTAATCATTTCAGTGATGTAATATTGAAAAGTTCTAAAAATATATTGTCGTCGTGGGAGTCTACCTTAGGAAATAGACCCAGCTGATTTATTGCAGATATCGGTGCATGGTGCTATTTATCTCTATTATTTTTATCAGAAAGAAATAGATATAACAGAAAGCTCAGTAAAAATACAAGGCTAAAAAAAAACCTGAATGCCCATTATAACATGCTTCACTTACTTAGAAGAAAATGGTTAGTGATTTAACTAGCCATTTTGTACTATTTCTATTTTTTTGTGATTTTATGGATGTATGGAAAACATTAAAAGACAAAGAAAGCAGATATTTTTCTATCGTGTGAAGAAAGATTCTGATGAGCGAAGCTATAGTCAGCTCATTGTTTTTGTTTGTTTACAGGAACCTTCTGTAAACAAGTTCTCCACCTGAGGCCTGATATATAAATATATATGTATATGTATAAACATGGAAAAATCCATGGGTGATGATGTCACTAGAAGTTCCGCCCAGTTCCGCCCAGCCCCCGCATGTAGTCTGTGATGTCACAGATTACACTGCATTGATGTCACATTCTACCTTTAATAGCGATAGCTATAGAGCTCATTTTCAGTCTGCATTTTCACAGTGTGGTATCAAAGCCCCGAACTTCTGTTTTTGACATGGATCACATTAGAGCACCAAAGCTGACAAACTGGCATTCTGTTAAGAAAGTTGATGATTGTATCAACACTTTTTCTAAAGAAATGATGGATTTAAAGAAAGAACAGGGGGAATATGACAAAGTTCTTCGATGTGGCAGAAAATTTGCCCATGCATACCACGCGGCGCAGGTTCAACAGACTAACTACGCCATGATGGAACTGAAAAGACAGAAAGAAAGAATTCTGTCCGAATGTTCAGAAACAGGTAGACAGGTGGAAAAAGTTAGGCCGAATAAAGTTCACATTCAAGGTCGCGCTCTGCAGCTGAGTGAACAAAGCCGGGGGAAAAATGAGATGGCTGAAATTAGGATGGGAGAGGAGAAGAGAGGAGATAAAAGAGGAAAAGTTGTGTTCCAGCAACATCGCGAGGACAAAACTGAACAAGACATGATAATACCTAAACAAAAGAAGAAAGGATTAACGAGTGGATTTCAGAACACCCATGACCAAGAAACAAAAAAACAAATGGAAGTCCAATCTGCAGAACAGATTAGAGAAATGGAAGCGCAATTGAGGCCAAAATCGCCCCATGAAGTGGTGAGACTGCGTCAAATGAGAACAGAGCTAGTGTCCCGCAAACTGGAAATTATGCAGAAGGAGCAAGCTGCCATGCAAGCTGTAAAAAAACAGCAAGAACTGATTAATCTGAGAACATATAGGGCTAAGATTGAAAATCAGAAGAGAGAGAAGAGGGAAAAAGAGGTGGCAGACCTCCAATCCTTGATGGCATTTAGAAAAATTCAGGCAAAAAATAGAATGAAGGAGGAGGTTGAAGAAAAAATGAAAGAACGTGAATGGATTGTGGCCCAGAAGGCCTTTGAGAAGATTAAATATGTCAAACAAAAGGAAAAGGCTCTTGAAAAGAAGGAAGAAAGCATTGCACTTCACAACTTCAATGTAGTCGCAGCAGCTAAGAAACGAAAAGTTGAAGAGCAGAAGAAGAGGTATGAACAGCTAGCTGTTCTGAAGGCTGCCAAAGAAGCTGAAGAGAACCGCAAGATACAGAGAACCATTCAGAGGAGATGTCTGCTAGATGAAGGGCTCAGGGAGAAAAAAGTAGATAAGATTTTGGCTAAAAGCACAGCAGGTCCTGGTCTTCTTAAGGATAGGATGGATGATGGTTACAACGACTGTCAAACGAACGAACCATTGCCCAGAATGTCCACCAAGGAGACCCGTTTAATTAAACGGCGTCAAGAGAAAAGTGGACTCCTGACGGGGCGTTGCAGCGAGAAAAGCAGGTCGAACCTTCCACCAATACACCAGCAGCAGCACAAAAAACATTTAAATGGGCCATTCATAGTCCTGAATCCCTTGGAAAAGACTAAACTGGTCAAAGAAAAGGAAAAGGCCCTTAAATTGAACGAAGTCCGCATTGCAGTTCAAAACTCCAGTGCAGCCGAAGCAGCAAAGAAACGAGAAGCTGCTGAGGAGAAGAAGAAGAGGGATGCACAGCAAGCTGCTTTGAAGGCTGCAAGAGAAGCAGAAGAAAAAAGAAAGCTACAGACCACCATTGAGACCAAGTGTGTCTTAGATGTAAGCGCCAAGGAGAGGAATAGGAATTACATCTTGGGCAAGTGCACAGGAAAACTTTGCCCTCTTCAGTATGAAATGGGTGGTGGTTATAACTGCATTGTAACAAATGAGCCGTTGCCCAGAATGTCCACCAATGAGACCCGTTTAATCAAACACCGTCAAGAGAACTTCGGACTTCTAACGAGGCGTTACAGTGAGAGATGCATGATGAACCTTCCACCAGAACACCAGCAGCTGCGCAACAAGCATTTAAATGCGCCTTTCCTGGTTTACTCTTTCACTGACTCCCCCCAATGGAAGATTTAAGCCACAGGAACCCAGGACCATTTTTTAAAGAACATTTTTTTTTAGAAAAGACATGACATTCAACAACAAACAGTACCACCATCAGATGAAAAGAGCTGTGATGCTCCACAGGTTACTTTGACCACGTTTAACACATTGATCTAATTTGACATTTTTTTATAGCACCTGCATCACTCTGGCTTCTTCTGGGGTAAGCAGAAGTCATCCAATGAACAGCTTATGCTGCCAGTCGGATGACTTCATGTGTTAATAGATGGATGCCAATTGCTAGCCTTACTGGTAAATACTGGGAATAAGAAGGCTAACAGGGAAAAGACCCTGTGCAAGACTGGAAAGACAGCTGACAGGAAACAAAGACACCAGTCACCAAAGCTGCTGCTCTGTTCTTACTCACCCCTATTTATTCTACTTAACTATTTAGCTCTGTTTTCTTATTTTCAATATCTGTGAATATGTATTATTATCCGTTACTCCGTTAATCTGAACATCAACCATGGGTAATGCATATTCTTCTATTCTATTCTATTGCATTCCATTCTATTCTATTTCATTCTATTCCGCCTCCATAGCACCAGATATATCTTTTCCAGATATATCTGGTGCTATGGAGGCCTTATTATCAATTTTTAACTGCTGTGAATAGGACGGCTGACAAAAAGGAAAAGATCATGTGAAAGACAGCTGACAGGAGACAAAGACACCAAAGACATCGATGCTGCTATATTCTTAATCATATCACTTCTTTTTGTTTTGATATGGGTCTGTAAATGCTACTGTAATCTGCATGGATTTATTGATGAATAAAACTTTCACCTGCAAAGTGTTCACTGTTCACTGGTATTTTTCTAACAGTCTGTCCCTCCATTGTAACCAAGGATGTCCGTTTTTAAAACTGACTCTGCAAGGGTGACCAGAAACTCAAATCTAAAAAGAAAGGAGGCAAGACGTTTTACAACTGAGAGCAAAGCGTGGCGCGGTTGATTATTGGAACAATGACGCACACATCATTGTTATATTCATGTTTAATGGATAGCTGTCTTCAGCATCATCATCGCTGGTTTTGGCTGTCAAACTGTTAATAAAAGCATTTCTAAAAAAGCCTTGCTTGTCTTCTCTTAATTTTCTGTACTTTAACCGTTTAAATCATCTAGAAACTGGAGCTCTCTGCTCAAATGTGAGCGGAATTTCAGCCTCAGAGCTGTTAGTTCAAACTTTGTTTAAACGGCTTTCCCGCGTCAGTTACTTGGACCAATACAAGCGAAGAACAGACTGCTTCCTCATTTAAAGGGACATCAGCTCTACGCCATGCAGAAGGGCTCTGTGATCAAGAGAACTGATCCTAAATCTCTCCAGGAAAACTCATCCATCTTAAAAACTACATATCTTAGCACATATACAAAGTTTCTGCCCATTAAAGAAGTCATGAGTTTTTCTATACTGAGGTCCCATTTTAGTACAATAACGCTGCAAGTCCCAGTGACTTCATCTTATCCAGTTTGACTAGAACTAGATGGTTCAAATGAAGTTAAATATAATCAGAGTTTTAGCTAATTGACACCATTGCAGTTATCTTCAAACAATATAATGATTGTCCTTTTCCATCAAATTCAGAAGACTTTGTTAAAAATATTTCTAGAAATTTGTACATCGACGAGGGAGCTGAATACAAAAACATTACAACAAATACATGTCTGTTGCATTTGTAAATAAACTGCTTTAATAAGCAGTATAAAGACACCACTGGAATGTTCTCATGTCAGCTACCCAAAGGCCATCTCTTGAGGCAGGTTTAGTTGTGTGTCATATTGCCCAGTTTAGCCAAAAATAAGCAACCAAGCTTGAGATTTAATGCAAAGCACTTAACCTTTACTTGAAAGAAGGTAATATACATCCTGGAATTACAGAAAATAAAGATACATTATGAGCAAAATCATTTCACAATGAATATCATCTTCCTTTTGCATCAGCCAAGAGGAGTGCAACATTATCTACAGTTTCTGTTAGAAGAAAAAAGTGAAAAGCACACATTATTCTATCAGCATCTTTACTGTTTGATACACTGTAAAAAATGTCATCTATATGCAGTAGTCCACAAAAGAGAAAAAAAAGAACATTTTTTAAAACACGTTTCATGGTTGTCTTTCAGTTAAGTAACTGCAATGCATACATTATAAATAAATGTAAGGGGACGAGGGATGGGGGGGAAAAAGGAGCTATAAAATACTACAAGCAGTATCCCACCATTCCAGCATGGCTGGAACAATAAGTGGCCTGAAGTCCAAACCTTACACATATTGGAGTGTGACCACAGCTTCAACAAATCTTTAAGATACTGTAGATTTTTTAAGCGTGTGCATCTGAAAGAATGCTTCCTGATTAACACTTCAGGATAAATCAAGTTATAATTGCTATTAAAACTTCCTTTGTGTGAGGATACTGTGAGGTGAGAACACTTTTTGTCAGTGTGAATTCAGCATGAGAAAAACAAGGCCTTATAGTAACATTTTTATTTTCTCCAACTCAAAGCCAGTCGGTAATGAACAGAAGTGTATTCTCAGCTAAGCTATGGGAGGTCACTTGTATTACCCACAGAACTTTTCAACTAAAAAGGAAATCATTCTGTTCTTTTGCCCAAGAAAGACATTTCAAAGCAAAAAGCCCTCTTTTCTTATAGCTATTGCTCCACCGACATGTTGTGTTGGAGGACACCCCAACTGTACATACTATAAACAATTCTCTTTGCAATAAAAGGAAAGGACACTACAGTAGTAGACAACTCAAAAGTTAATGTGATGATGCAGATTGGTAATTGTTTAAATCTACAGCGAGTTGAAACGAGGGGGAAGCTTCTCAGACAGAGTACATGTTCTTGGTGGTGGATCCGCTCTTACTGGACGTGTCGTCATGTGACTGGTAGCCAATCATGGCCTTCATGGGGAGGTTCAGACGCTCTTTGTAAAGTTGCCTGAGGAAAAAACAAAAGGAGTGTAAGCTGGAGGCATGGAAAGATTTGGGCTTGCAGTCCCCATCTAGTGGTCAGCTGTAGTTCATCTGTCCATCACTACGCATGGCATCCCACCTTACCCTATCGTCATGATGGCGTCCCTGTTTTGGCAGTTGCTCGTCCAGATGGCTATTTTGTCGCCTTTAGGTCTGACGTTGACCACGGCGCCGCACACGTCCTCACTGGCCTCGTCAAACGATTCTCCCACTAAACACAAAAGCTGCAAAGCCCAACATGGCGCCGTGCTTTATTAATCTGGTCTTTTTGTTAACACATCCCAGGCAGTAGAAGAGTGAATGCGCTGTGTGGAAGAAGTCAAGACGGCTGTTACCGTTTCCATCCAGTAGCGATCAAGGTCATTGTGTCGCTGTTGTTTATTGAGAGTCATCAGCCATCGACCCCCCAGCTTGTTCCTGTCATCTTCCCACATTGGCTTAATCCCATCCTGGTAGAAAAATGATCATATTATTAATAATAAAATTAAAAATTTTAACTGCAAAATTGACTTCTCAAATTATTATTGAACTGTTTCTCACATTATTCCTTTAAATAAGAAAAACTATTTTTGGTATTCTGCGACTCCCTCAGCATGCACTGCCAAAGAGCTAAAAGCCTACACCCCCCTATGACCCCCCTTTTGCTCATAAATAAATAACATCCGGGTCTACACCCTTGCTGTGTTTTGTATGAGTAAATCTATGGTTTTGTCCTGGTTGCCAGCTCAGATCACACCCATCTTCCAGGTTATCAGGATGAGTCCATTAAGCTTGTTAAACGTGTCTCCCATTGATGTTGTCTCAAATACTAGAAGAAGAAGAAAGGGAGATGGGGGCTTACCTTGAATAAGCAGTAATCGCAGCCAAAACCAAGTTTGCTGGGTTGCTGTATGTGGTTGTATAATCTATAAGAGAAAACACAGGAATAGATACCAAACATGAAAACATGTCATACATTGATTTAATTTTGACACCTCAGAATGATGCTACACCAAAGAATACCACATTAATGACAGCAACCCAATGGATCCTTTAGATTCAGCATGGAATACATTCTAATGTGAAATAGGGCCATTTACCTCAGCAATATGGAAGTGGTTTGAATTCAGTAAAAATGAAAAATAATTCAATACACTCAGCAAACTTTGTGTTGCTCGGGAGATCACAAAAACAGGAAACAGTGTTACATCTCTAAATCACATGAAAATGTAAACTGCTGTTCCTCTCACTGAGGTGCTCCGCCTCATTGTATTGCCTCACTTATTCATTTACATTCAGTACTTTGTTTTCACAAATTGCACACTTCTCTAAATTTCCATTGAAATCTACCAGCTGTTCGGTTCAGACTTGTCAAAAACTGGAGCCTGGTGTTGACAGTTTTTAGGAGTTAAGTGTTCCCATGACGCCGCTTAACTTTTGTGAATCAACTCCTTCTAAAGTTTAACTCTATTACTTTAATGATGCGGCTATTATTAGTACTTTTGAAAGTGACAGCAAAAAAGATCAACATAGAAAATAACACGCTACCCATTGGCCTCTGTGATTTACAGTTCTTTGTGCGATACTCAAAAAGTAAATAACAGCACTGTGTTAAACACATTGATGTGATTAAACTATAAAATATTGACACAGAGGGTTCAGATCTGTCCTGTTCATTTGTCTAAAATATGGTTTAAAAGGTCATTTGAAGCTAAATGTTTTGTTAGAGCATGTTGGAGGAACGTCTCATCATTTTGCAACCTGAGACAGAAAATGTAATTATGCTGAGTACGCCTCCAACACGATGCTACCAGCAGGCTTTGTGAGGACTAGCCTCACCTTTACACTTGTGATCAGTGCAGTTGTGTGAATCTACAATCCACCCTCAGATCTGTAGTAAGCTCTCCAGATCCTCCAGCTTCCTTTGTATGTCGGCACAGACAAGCTTCCAGATATGGTAGCTCACAGGGGTTTGGAGGAGTCAAGAATTTTTTTTCCTGCTGAGGTGAAGGCATTTTCATGCTTTCATCTACAATCTTTACACTCATACATTTGCATCTCCTCATAATCTCATACAAGTACAAAAGGTGAAGAGGAGAAAACTTACGCCCAAAAGTCTTCCACTGTATCAAATTTGGAAATGAGACGCAAGTTCTCTGTCCAGCTTTTGCTCTTGTCATTTTTGAAATACCAGAGGGCCCATCTGAAAGAGGAAAAGAAACACACAGTATTTACAGTGGGACTAATGACTCAAACAAAAAAAGACACCAAACTGTTATCATCCATTTCACGTATTTTTAAGTAATGTTTCTGAGCCCGTCCAAAAATCCCCTATCAGACGTATTCACAGTGGAACACAACAGCTATTTACTAACACATGAATGTCAGTGAAAAGGACAGAGAAAGCTGGCCACCATCAGCACCAGAAACACAGCCTTTGTTTACAATGGGTGCTGTTATTCTCACGTCTGTGTCCGCAGGGGCGGGTCTGAAAGGGGGAGGGGTTGAGGGCAAAGAGAGGACATGAGCTGAACCCAGTGCTCCCCACCACATACAGCTGGAAAACCAAACCCCCAGATGTTCCACAAATAAATATGCTGACACTAAACAAATCACATTAGAGGATCTGACGCCGTGTAGTCACTAAACTGACTGCTGTAGGACCCCCACAGCCCATGATGACATGCCAGGTCATAGCATGTAAACAAATATGTCAGGCAGCATATTGAGTAACTGGTGGGTTTACTGAGGAGCCGACGCCTCACATGCCACATAACCTCAACTTCAAAATTCCAATGAGCCTTATTATGTAGCGAGGATTGATGTCCTGGAAAACCTCTAATGGGAAAACAACTGGGGAGATAAATAGCAGAAAAGAGTGTTCAAAGCCACAGTTAAAAACTCATTCAAAGCAAGTACATTTTGTCCACTGATCCAAGACATCAGGGAAACCCAAGCACAGTAATGCAAAAAAAATAAAAAATTCTGTTTCTGTTGCAAAACATGTACAGGTTTTCAAAAAACCTGTTTCAACACCCTTCAGTACATACCCTGCTGACTAAAACAGAAGGTTAGAGACTTCTAGCAAGGTTATTTGTGTCCAAAGAAGCATTATTGTGGGGGATTTAAAAAACAGTTACCCTTTACAGCAATGGCACCTTCAAGAACTGATTAGCTTTTTTGGGGGGGAATATTTTTTTCCGGAAGACTAGACATCTTTATTTGAATTCACTTAACACCCCCAGACTACTCGTTGTCAGAAGCTGACTGTGTTTTTCATGCCTTCCGCCAGCTGCCTCTGTCATATAATTTCAGTCCTTTATGAAAGTCATGCTGCATCACTTGAAGCTTGACAGATCATAATGTCTCCGTCTGAGACAGTTAGGTTACAGACCTACACAGCGTGCTCAGTTTCATCTGTGGAATTAACAAAAACAACAACAACCTGTGAGCGCAGAGCCTTTGATAGAAATGTTTTTTATTCATGTCATAATACTTTAGTTTAATATTTCTGACGGATAGATACTAAAAGGACCTGTGTGTCGTTCCTTCAGGTTAACCAAACCTACTTTTGAAAATGTTATTCTTGTTTTGAGAAATTAGCGTCTTTCTAATACAGAAACACCCCAGAAACATGAGTCATCTTTATGCAGAATTGACACCACATGCTGTATATCTTGACTCGTATTAATCATTTATAAAGTCACAGGTCCACTCCTGTAAAGTGCTGTGGGGGGGATTTGTGACAGTGACGCAACATTAGTAACAGTGCACACTTGATGACCGTGTTCACATACTAATTGTAAGTAAAGTAACAGCTGTTGTAGGCGAGAAACGTGTGAAATTGCTAGAAAACTGAGATAGCCACCACTGGAACTTACCTGGCTTGTTTAGATTACATATGAGAGACTTACATGAGAAAATAGGACAGGATAAAGCAGCAGACAACTTTGGCCTCTGAGGCTGTGATGAACAGGCAGAATGCACCAGAAGAGACTTACTAAGTGGCCTACTCAGCAATTCCAAACTCAACTGTACAATGCTCCTGAATAGATCGCCCTCGCCACAGAACCATCATGGACCACTGCACCAAAAACACAGATTTCCTTGTTCGGCATTTTCAGACAACCTGAAACAGGTTCAACCTACTACATGGCTGAAAATCATTTTGCACATTGATGCTCCCAGCTACGGTCTTCTTGTTTACCTGCATAACACAGCTGATGTGTTTAGAGGAACCAAATATTAACAGTATGAAGATTCAGTCATAGCAGCCAGTAATGGTGTTCTTACCTGTTTTGCAAAGGATGTTTGATATATTGCTCAGGATTTGCAACAACCTGACCTTCAGTTGGTTGATCCTCAGTTTCAGCTGTTTTCTAATGAGACAGACACAAGCACACTTAGTACCTTCATGAAACACTAGAGATGTTTACTACTGTAATCCTACTAATTGACATCATATATGAATAACATACACAGACTATCTAGGAGGTCCAATAATATTCTAACCAGTAAAGCATGGAGCAATTGTTCTTTCTGTGTTTTTCCCTTTCTTTGCTCATAAACTGTCATAAAGTTTCCATGTGGAACCTTTAAGTTCACTTGAACATAGTGCGTGTAAAAGCAAGCTGTGATTCCAAGATATGACTGACTGATGGGTTGAGCTCAAAGTAGAAAAACTCCCTACAAGTTGTCTACTTGTCCAGGACCATTAATGGTGGAAAAAATTACAGCGACATCACACATTCAGACTGACATTAAAATCAGGCACAGTTTGCAAGTTCCTGTGCAAGTCAGTCTGAACAATATTGAAAACAAAGTTATTAATCAAACATGTTACACTTCTTTCTACTAGAGGGTGGAGAGGGAATGACATGATTAGAGGAGAGAGGCATTTTTGTAATTTAGCCAAAAACCTGGTTGTCACCCCTCCCCCTCAAAAACCCAGTATAGAATAATGGCAGATTTCTGTGGCCATATAAATGTTAAAACTGATTGACAAACGACTTTGACGGGGGCTGACAGGTTATACAATCAACCCCCATTATGGCTTCTGATTGTTCTGGCGCATAATAACCATCCCTAAGAGCAATAAATATGCTTTTGCACTTAAAAGAACTTATATCTAGGTAGCTATAACTAAAATGCTAGGGGCGTTTTCATACAATCCGAAAATGTCAACATGTGACTCAACACCAGACCACAGAAAAGCAATCAATTTCTGATGGCGTAAAAACAATCGCACGGGCTGTAAAACCTGAGATAATTTCTCAATCAACGTTTGTTAGCATAGTTTTAGCAGACGTGCTAGGCCAGCCACAACCTCGATACACACGTGTCCACAATATCTTAAAAATGTATTAATAATTTAGAAGAATACTATAACCCACGTCATTGATTAAGATAACTACTCAATATAGACTCTAATGTCAAAGAACAATCAAACTAATCATTGAAGGAGTTTGAATGAACGACGTCCACTCAGTCCCTCCCTGCCAACCAAGTCAGGCAGTGCTTCATCCTTCACATTGCAGGGCATGCTAACGCTAATCCACGCGAATATGGGAGACCAGAAACACGTCCATTTCGCCCAAATATCCGTGTCATTCCAAACAGGGAACTTTATGTAATGAAGTCAATGGATAAGATAGAGGCATAACGTGTTTTCCGCACGGCCAAGTCGAATTGTTCATCCATTTCTTGTCTCTCTTACCGGCTCCGATGTCGCCATCTTGACTGTAGAAGAGATCTGCCCGTTAGGCGCTTCTGCGTCACACGGAGCCGCTGCTACGGAAGCCAGCGCAGCCCAGTTTAAGGTGGGTCCGCTGAAACATGGGTTTTTTGTTGAGTTGACGCAATATACACTGGTAGATGTAGTTTTTCAAAGCCGAAGAGCGTAGATTAACCAGATTTGAGCCTTAAATTATGTTAAAATAATTTTAATATTTATGTATACGTGTTTATGTAGGAAAGACATAACATCTGGTGCATGTTTCTTTATGGAAGAGGCACACAAGGCACATAATTTCAAACTGAACTCCAAACGTGTGTCTCTAATGTTCATTAATCTGCGAGGTTCTTAGCTGTACTTACTATAACCTTGTTAAAAGGGCTGAAAGGATGCAGAAAAATTGCATTATACATAAAGACAGACAACACTATTCAAACAATAAACAATTAATTGATTAAGAAGGATTAGGAATTAGGAATCTTCTTTCACAACATTGCCATATTGCAAAGATTAGATAAATGCGGGTGCTTTTTTTTGGGGTATAATCAAGTACTTATAAGTTATACTTAAAATTATATTGAAATTCTCAAATAATTCTCATTAAATTCAAGTTGTACATTAATATCAACAGCTCAGATATGTATCTGTACCTATACATGTTTCTTCGTATGAGAGTAAAAACAAAAGAGTAGGAAATATTGATCAGGTCCAAAATATAAATATGACTTTATTTCACAATCCCAAAAGACATCAGCCATCCATAAAAGGAATGCTAAATTTAGTCTCTTCTCAAGTCTAAACTGGATATACTTTCAGCAACATACAGTAATTCAGTTTCAAAATAAGCAAGATCACCCATTGTCTAAACACCATTAACAATACAGTAAAAACAATGTGGTTCACATACATATTTACATTTTTTCTGAATGCTGGTGCTTATTGTTAGTTTCTTACAAAAATGTTTTCATGTGGACTGAGAATGTCCTCCACAAACAAACAAAGGAAAACAAACATTTAAAACTACAATTTTGTAACATGATTTTTGTAAATTAGCTGATTCAAACAGTTTACATTCATTTATTTTGCATCTAGGTTGAGATTTTTGAGAATTCCTAGAGAACTGGGTTATTTGTGGAAGACATTTGAGTTTCAGACAACTTGACAGTTATGTGCATTGACACATTGTAATGATCCAGGGACATGATAAAAATAACATTGGGTTGAAAATATCAGTGAGTTTTAAAAAAGCACCATGCCATTCCCATTATACAGAATATAATCGGGTTAGGTCAACATCTGTACCTTATCTATTAGCACCCAAAGCAAGTGTAAGTGTGTAAAAGACCAAAATGTTTCAACAGGAAATATTATGCCATTAGTTTAGTGTGAATGCCAGTAAAGGGTTGAGCTAAAATTTGTGTTCTTAAGAAGAAGAGCTACTCTTTCTCGTGTAAAAAAGTAAAAAACAAAACATCCTGATTTTCCAGGTGTAAACACCAACACCCTTTACAGAGACCCTGTTTAAAACACTACCTGTACACAAAGTCTCCACAACAGGTGGGCTTTCCACATTGTCTGAAGTGGATCAGATGTTTTGAGTGGTTTTGCAATGAAGGAAAAAGAAGAGGCAAAACAGGGAATAACATGATTATTCAGCGGTGGCTAACACAGTTCTGTGTTCAAATCCAGCGTACAGACTTAAAAGCTGGCTATATCTGGATGACATTTCTGACACTTGCTTGGTTCCTGTTCGGGAAACAGGTTTCTGTAGCACCTTTAAAATATACAGTCAGCGTCTCATTTCCTATAATCACACTTGTTCCCTATGAAGGACTTGAATTCCAGGAGCTGAGTATGAATTAAGTGCCAACATTTTTAGCACCTCACTGCTGCAGCAATTCATGATTCCTCATTATTTGAGTTTTTTCAAATTGAATAATATATTTATGCAGAAATACTGTTAAAACAAATTCATACATGTGAACACACACATTTACATAAAGTTTGTATGTGTGTGTCGGTATGCGTGTATTGGCCTATGAACAGTTTTCAAGTTAAATTTAGGAAAATAAAAAAGTGCTTTTTAATATGCCATACATATCTGTGAATAAACAGGCAAACCAAAGAAGTACATTTCTTACATAGACTGCCAGACGTTGGAGGCAGCCAGAGGGAAAGCACAATGCTACATGACATAGTCTGCAGTAAATGTAACCAGAATGTTAGTCGACATTATGTGATGTTAGGAGTTTGCTTGACAAATATCAGTGAGAATGGCACCCATGTCAGAGCCAGCAATACTCTTTTTAGCACTAGAGAACTACTGGATGAAATTAAAAACTCACTCCTACTGTACAACATGATGCAGGTTGTCATAGAAATCTTGCAGTAAACAGGCTTACACCAGAAATTAAATAGAAATAGTTATGATCAGAATAAATAATCACATCTTTTTTTGTTCTCAATCATGTATATAAAACCAGTTTAAAAACATCTTTAAAAGCTTCAAAGCACCATCTCTTTACAATAAAAACCAACACCGAAACTCACAGTTAAAAGCCAATAAACTTTGGTCCTTCTCATTGCTATGAAGGCAGAGATGAAGAAGGACAAAATGAACAGATATTAGAAAAGCACAATGAAAATGACATAAAATGAGATAGCAGTCTAAAGTTGAATGAGGTAAGGCAGAAGCACGTGGTGTAGGAGTTTTCTGTGTGTACAACACACTAAGTCCAGCGATTATAAGGGCCAGTCACTTGTGTAAGAGCATAAGGAGACACGGTGATGACGCCGTCCCTCGGGAGAGTCCAACCCTGACGTGTCGGTACATTCATAACCTTCCTTGCTCTATCGGTCTCATCACTTGTTTCCTCCTCTCCTTCCACCCCAGTGGAGCCTTTACCGCCCTTCCCTACACCCCTGCTTGGGCTGCTCTCTATCCTCGATCTCTCAGCCTCCTCCTCCCGATCACGCTCACGCTTGGCCATTTTGGCATCCCACATAGCCATCCCATGGCCTGGCTCATTTAGGGACTTGTGCTGGTAGAAGACCAAGGATATGCGGGTTGGGTGGCTGCGGTTTGGCCTGAGGATAGGTGTAGTGGCATGGAGCTCCCGCCGCGCACACTCGATTAGGATGGAGCCGTGAGACGGTGCCACAGCGACACCACCTATGTCGTGATCCAGGAAGTTGTGTTCACTGTCTGACCACACCTCTTCCTGCTTCAACTCCTCCGGTTCGAGCGGGGGAGTTTGTAAAGGAAGCGGGGGAGTTTGTTGGGGTAGAGACGAGCCAGGAGGGAAGCCATGACCTCTGACCTCTGCTGTGACATCTCCTGCAGTTTGGTGAAGCCCGTTGAGCCTGCTGAAGAGGCCCTCAGAGGTAGGTTTGGGGGAGAAGGAGGAGTGAGGGTGAGGAACACTCCCAGAGGGGGAGAGTCTGCGCAGAGGAGAGCAGTGCATCTCGCTGGGCTCAGTTTTAAAAGGATAGTTACTATGGGTGTTATGCGGAGGTATACGTTCTAAAGGAGCGCCCTGCTCACCAGATACTAGAGAGTAACCATTCATGGAGTCTCCCCCAGTCTTATAGCTGAGAGCTGAGCCAATATGTCCAAACTGGAGGTCAGCCAGGCCATGGTGGTTGGGGGATATGATGTCCCTGTGTGGCGTGACCCCTGCACCTGGGGTGGAGTAGCTGCTGGTGCCCTGGTTGTAAGCGCTGGGCTGATTTCTTTCTAATGGGAACCTTCCATCACCGGCAGGTCTGGGTGCCAGTCTGTAAGAGCTGTAGTAGCCTTGTGGCTCTTGTTGGAGTAGAAAAAAAATGGCATATATTAGTAACATGGTAAAGAAGAAACACATTTCTGCACATCCGACAAAATAGAATAAAATCAAACAGCATTTAGCGTTACTACCTTTGTTGGGGGTCTCGGGTTTAACTTTCCCAGGAGAAGGAGAAGTCAACCCGAGCTTCTTCTCCATCCTCTCTGCTTGAGCCTTCAAACGGGCTTCTTGTCTCATCTTACGGGCTGATTTCACTGGCTCAGCTAGTAGACGCACCTAATACAGTACACAACAAATCATTCAAGTACTTGTTGCAAAGATTATTAGTTTTTTTATTCAATGAAAAATAACTTAAATCACTGACAAAGGATAAAAACGTACATTTCACAGCAGGAAACTGCAAAAACCTTTCTTTTGACTCACCTCTCGGGGAAATGATGACAGAACTTGCAGAGCACCACTTTTGATTTTGGCCCACTGGCCGTCAGCCTGTCCAAACTCATCCCTCTCAGAGATCTTGTAAAGTGGCAGCACATGGAGTTGTTCATCTTCTGGGATATTACGCACTGCTCGATTATCTTCCTTTGTTAAAGTGCAAACCTGAAAAGGAACATAAACACATAGTGATCCAAATTTATCACAACCTTAAAACAAGTACCCATAATTTAAACCAACAACATTTGAAACAGGTTAAGGCAGCATTTCTAAAAATCCTTGATTACTGTAACTCCTTGTGTTCCTGTTTGAACTAAACTGGAATTACTCGGCTCCACCTTACTCAGAAAGTGGCACCCACCATCTGATTGAGACTAAACAAAGAGAGCAAAATAAACCAACTCTGGCTCACGTACACGATAATCTCAGATCGGTTAAAAAACTCACAACTTTTTCAAATCAATCAATCTGACCTTATAACTAAATACACTACACAAATTCAAGACAATACAGAACTGCTTTTTTATCCATTGTTCATTAGTATGTCAAGATCTATCCTCAAAACAAAGGGATCACAACTGACTGTTGTTTTTTTTAAATGAAACTTTTGCTCCTGCTTTTTTGTCTTTTGTGTTTTCAATGCTAATCATAAATTCAGTACAGTTGTCCGATTACAATTCCTATTAAAAATAGAATTGTCCTGATATCACTAGGCTCTGTGGGCTTTTATGAATATGGATGAACTACATGAAGGTATTAAGGCACAAGAAACCTTTCCATGATGCATCCATTTATATGTGGCACCCTGTGACAACCAAACTCCTCAAAAACTCATTCTTATGTTATGACTGCACACCTTGCTCTTGCACTCACTTACTGTGTCACACAGTCATACAAATGCACCTGCTCTGTGTTACTTCAACCTCTGTCCTGATGCACTCAGACACCTTTCTCTGAGCTGAAAGTGTGTCAAAGTGTAGGGAAGATGTATGATCTGCTCTCATACACAGAAATGTATTTAATTCAGATTTTTCTTCTAAAGTGCTTTACGCAGTTCCATATCTTATTCGGCATTTACTTATTTTTTGCATTATTACATGTTAACTACTGTTCCAAAAATTATTTCACTGTTAGTTCCTTACCACAGTGCTGCCATTGTTCATGTTGCTGGTATCCTTGTGAGCGTGGGCGCAGAAATCTACACAGGCTGTGACCCCAGAGAAAGGACGTCCCTCAGTCTTGCCCAGCCGGCACTCTGTCCCTGCTGCCTCATGCTCAACCTGGGAGAGGTGAAAGGTCAAAAAAGTTAGTTCGGCACAAAGTGAAGATGTGCACATTTACAAATCTAATATCAGTGTGCAAAGTTCATATGGGGTTTCACAAACAGTGAATGTTGAAAAGCTTTCAAAATAAATGATCAGAATTATTTGACATTTGGGCGTTTTATTTTTTATACCTGGTTTTGAAAAGCCTCAGGAGCCAGTCTTTTGTAGAGAGGTGCAAGATCAGTGGCAAGACCCTGAAGGTTGCTCTCAATCCTCTCCTCCTGTAAGAAATATATTTAGGATTTTCGGGTGGATCACATCTCATTTAAAAATGGGCTTTGTTCTCCCTAATAGTGTCATATCCAGTATAAGCCACAAGGAGGCAAAATACTTGAAAAAATGATCTGCTGATCAGCAGATAAACTACATTGTAAAAAAAACACATGTTTTTTAAACTCAGTTTATACACTAAAACTTAAACTGTGTTGCCTCTGAGATACTATGTTACGGCCAACTCTGTAATCATCTGCACAATATCTTCACACTCCTTTATAAACACCAGAGGACACAGACACAAAAAGTAGACATGGCAAAAAGCAATGCCCTCATGCATCTGTGGAAACTGAACTTCCAGCCATCTCACAACTTGTTACCACAAACCAACACTCCCCCCCCCCCCCACACACACACACATACACACCCACACATTCTTACCTCCTCCCGATATTCTCCAAGCAGGCGAAACTTTCGGGGCACTTTGCTGCGGGCAAATTTGCAGCCGTTGTAGTACATACTCCAGGAGCAGCCAAAGGAAAATGAGGCTCCACAAGTGTCCTGGTCCAAGCCTTGGCATGCACAGGTGCGACTGTGAAGCCCGAGCGGAGAGTTGGGGGAGTTACAGAAATGAAAATACCCGGCAAAAGGAAGTTTCCAATTGAAAAGCTACTCACTCCTCATTGAGGGCACAGCGCCGGCTGGTGGGGGAACCATACTTAAAGAGGGTCTCTGTGAGCTCCTGGTAGAGGTGGTCTGCCACCTGCCGAGGGATTCCCTCCCAGGCCAAGATAAGAATCACCAGCACAGCAGTGTCGCAGCAGTGCCCTGGTCTCTGACGCACCAGACACAGCAGCTTCTCCTCCTCACTGCCACGCCGGATCACCTGTCAGATGAGTGCATGCACAAAGAAAGATGCAGGCCATAACTGATGAAGCACAGAGCAAAAGAGTGCTGTTAAGGGGTTATAAATGTAACATAAATTAGAGGAGTCAGTTTTAAATCAGTCAAAGAATTTAAATCATAAAAAGGGAAGGGTTACAATAAATGTATGAAAATGACATCCTCAACATGCAAACATACTAGGACAGAATGAGCCATATACATACCCATTTAGCTATTGGGCATCCCTGGGAGCTCTTGCCTTCTTTCCCAGTGTAAACAACAACTTCTACCCTGACTGCCTTCCCTTTGGTACCATACCTGTGGCAAAACAAACACACAAGACATTAGTCTTTTTTTTTTTTAAACCTCAGACCACGTATCACTGAGAGCCATGGCACTGAAACCATCTTTATGACATTTTCCAGACCTCTACCACTCAAAACAGCTTTGAGAAGTTAAAAACTTTAAACTCTTGGTCATGTACTTATAGAGCCTTTTCTGTATTGTTCCTTGGTGGATTGGCCTGCTGAAAGAGTCACCGTCCTTGGCGAATAGCACTACCGCTCAGAGGAGTTAATGTGTGCAAATATCTTAAGGTGAGTCATAGTTGTCAAAAGGCAGCATCCAAATGGTGCCAGCTTCCAAGGTTCCCCAGAAGAACACTATCTCCTTTAACTTTATTTCTACACACTGTGCATCCTCCCCAGATAAACGTTGCACACAATTGCAGTCCCAGGCAGTCTCACAGGGGACAGAGTGGTGATGCACTGTGCGTCCATCAAACCCAGAAACTAAAAACCCCTCTTCTATACCAGGGACTCTTGTGCATTTGGTTCACAAGCTTCCCTCTCCTGGAACTACTTTAAGAATATTACGGGGCGGCTGTGGCTCAGGAGGAGAGAGCAGTTGTCTTCTGATTGGAAGGTCAGTGGTTTGACTCCATGTGCCTCCAGGCAACATGTTGAAGAGTCCTTGGGCAAGGCTCTGAACCCTAACTTGCCATTCACTGGTGTATGGATGTGTGTGTGAGTGGTGAATTACTTTGAGTAGTCACTTTGACTGGAAAATTGCTATAGAAATACATTTGCATGGCATCTAGATCCTTCTCATGAACATTTGACTGTTTGCTTGTCGCTTAAAATTTCCCACTCTTTGGTACTAGGTTTAAATGGGGAAAATTAAATGATTTCCCCAAATTCTATAGTGAGCAGTATTACACAGGTTTGATAAAAAAATAATTCAAGCCATGAAAAGCAAAAGTGTGTTCTGTAAAGACCCTCAAATGTACAATGATGGATTGTAAGTCATTTTAAACAAGCTGTCATCTTGGCTTGAGGGCCCCCTCGTCTCAGCTTCCTGTTTCAGTCTGATGTGTGTGTTTTGTGTACATGTGTGTTGTTTGACACAGAACGACTGTGAGAGCCGCCTCAACCATGCTTCCTTTTAATTAAAGCAGCTGTAACTCCGCCCCATTCCACCCAGTCTGTGGTTGCTGGTGACTAGTAGGCTCTCAGCATGTTTTGTAGTAAAAACAACCACAGATACATAGTAAAAATAATGTGGTGCTAATCACTACCTGCTCTCCATCAGTTCCCTCACTGCAGCAACGCTGGGTCCTGCCCCAAGATGGGTATAATAAGGGCCTTCTTCCTTTTCAATGATTTGGTCTGTGGAAAACAAACATCAACATTTGTTGGACACTATAAACAATTCACTTATTGTGCTGGTTTGTTTCTTAAATGTCATAGCAGCCATCTGAGAGGCTGCTTTTTAAAAGTCATCGTGTTGAAGTGATGCTGGCTTATTAAAAAAACTAAACATGTACACTTTAGTGGCAAAAAAGCGATATGTGGTTACTGTGGCTTTGTGCATAGGCCCCCACCAAATATGTTGCAATGGGACAAAAAGGCCCAAATATGGCAAAGAAATGCAGCCTTCTTTTGCTTGAATTGGCCCCTTGAATTAGGACACCGCTTGTGGGTGTGTACATGAGTTTGCATATGTGTGTTTGCATCAGAGAAACAGCAAATGAGATTCAATCTGAGGTCAAAGAACTGCAGCCTTGCTCAAACGAAAGCTCTCAGGGCAGATTAAGTTACACAAGAGAGATGCATCCAGCCTGATGCAGACACGGACGCGAACAAAGTCACTTTTCACAGTAACAACCTTAAGCAGAACTAACTCACCCACGCACTGACAGGATGGAAGGTCAGCCAGTTTTTTGGAAGGCGTATTGAGCAAATTCTTTGTAGGGGTATCCAGATAACTCATTGGAGACTCCAGAAAATTGTTCAGGCTATTCTTGGTCGGAGTTGACTCTGCAGAGTGGTCCTGAACCCCATCAACAGCTGTAGACAGGACAGTGACAGGTCCCGACCTCTCCAGCTTGTAGTAGCCCTGTTGGCTTGGAGGAGGAGAATGAGGAGCACCTAAGAAGCCATTGGTCAGACCATGGTGCCCATTGGTGTGGCTGAGAAAAGCAGCTTTAGCTGGGCTGGTGTTAGGATCGGCACCGTGCTGCAGCCCAGCGCAGGGCTGCATTACCTGAGATAATAATTGATGCCCCTCCGGTCCTGCATAACCATTAGATGGACTGTGCTGGTGAAATGGACCATTAGAAAGAGACCATAGCTGGTTTTCCTGACCACCAGTGTGGTTGGATCTTGCAAGAGTGTTGCTGTTCTGTCCTAAGTGGCTAGCATTGTGTGTGTTATTGTGATGGAAGAGTTGCCTTCTTTCCTCATGAGCCTCAGCTAAGTGTCGTTTGACATCAATTTGAGCCAGAGGCAAAAATAAGTTGTTCATATGGTGTGGGTCTGATTTCCCATGTTGTAGGCTCTTCTGGCCCCTGCTCCTGTGGGGACTCTCTCCATTTGGCATGCACTTTGCGAGGGAGGTTCTGCAATTTATGCCGTCATGATTTCCATCAGTTTTCTTCTTCCTGGGCTTGGATGGGGTAGTTTTAGCTTTTTTTATGAGAGGCTTTTTCTGAACAGGGGGTTGCTGGAATCTGTAGTTGTATTTAATAGCTGGCACCGGTGTTCCCTTCGGAGGGTTGTTCTCTGACTGATGACCGTGTCGGGACTGGATGATGAAGGCCAGATCTGCCAGTTGAGCTGCCACTTCCTCCTCATCACGATTCCTCCTCACCATACCGACAACGCTGTCTCTGTCCTTCCCGGCCTCGTGACCCTTGCTGAACCTCACGTCACTGGAGTCGCTACAGCTGCGTTGGGACTTGATAACATGCGGACCATAGAGTTGCTCCGTCTGCCTGCAGGGTGCCACGCTGCTGCCTGAGCCGTCCTCCACGAGGTCTGGCAGAGGCAGCTTTTTTTGGTCGGAACCAAACAACCGGGAGCACTGGATGACATTTGCCTGTCTGGCCACAGGGGGGCGTATCACTGATGTCTGATGTAGTGTTGAGCTGATGACCGATACTTGTTTGTAGCGAACAGTTGCTGAGGGTTTGGCGTTTTGCGGGGCCGCATTTGTATTCGCCGGTAAGATTGTGGACGTGGCAGAAATGGGATATCCATTTTTACTTTCAGCTTTAATGTAACCTGGGGTGCTTCGGGGTATAGCTGCCAGTTGAGTCAAGGCCTCTATCGCAATCACCTGGTCAAAACTAAGATTTCTCTTCTCTGCCAAACACTGCACACTTGGAGGAGGTTCACTTTTGATGGGGTGCTGAATCCTTTGCAAGTTGAGAGGAGTGCTTTTCTGACAGAAGTCGACTTTGAAGTCGTCCTTCTCTTTTTTGACAAAGTGCAAATCTGGCGGCTCTGTTTTGATGGAGCGAAGAATGGATGAACGTGAGCTGAAAAGTTTCTCCTCCAGCCCCTTCCTCTCTGTGACAGACAAGCAAACGACGGCCGCCAACGTAGACAGCGGGTCCTCGCATACGTCGTCTTCATCGCTCAGCTGTGTGGCGGTCTGCTCAGTGATCCACATCCAGGGCTCCTCCAGTTTGATCTTCTTTAGTGGGACTGACATGGCATCTGGAGGAGTCTTGGGTCTGATCTGTGAGCAGTCTTTAGGGTTTGCAGACATTATGGACTCTGATGCATTTGAAGTCCTTTTACATGAAGAGTTTAGATCAGGACACGATCCCCTGGTCATATTAGCACCATTAGGTTTCAGGTTCTCAGCAGAACCGTTCACAGAAGTCACAGAAGAGCATAGATGTTGGTGAAGTGCAATGCCGGTCAGCTCCAGCCCAGGCTCTCTTTTAATAAGTGCCGGCCGCACACCTTGGTCTGTGGTGGCCAAGTTGTGGGTGAGTGACTGGGTGATGGAGGAAGATTGAGTATGAGGTATGTGGCCTTCCTCCCCCTCATCCTCCTCTGCTGCCATGTGGGTGTCATCCATCTGTGCTTTGCCTTTGCCATTTACCGACCCACTTTCTGGAACCACCTGAGACACAAGGACGAAGAGAAACAAGTAAAGAAAAGTGACTCAACGAGCTCTGGCAGTAATCGGTGATTCATCCTGCTCTAAACAGTCATGGCACACTACAACAGATTGCCTCCCAGCATGGCAGGAGCATCTGCTGTAGCCACCATCAAGGCTATAGAAAATATCCTGGAAAACAAAGAGTCTATTCTCTCTAAATGTTGACAATACAGATCTTTAAACAAAGCACATAAAAATGACACTGCATAACTAGTAGAGGGTTTGATAGGAAGATATCATTCCTGCCCGGGCTTTGGAGTGTTAACAGAGTCACTCACGGGTTACTGACATGTAAACAGTTCTGAGTCCCGAAGAGTTCATGAGTTTATCATAACTTTGGGGGTCACTGGGTGCATGTGTGCACGCTCCGTTTGTGCTGGGCATGATAGTGTGACCGTGGGCATGCGAGCATATGTATTCATTCACACTGGCCATCCAGTGTCAACCCCGGTGCATTGTTGAGTAAGTGACACAGCCCAACCAGAAGAATGAGTAAGATTCTGATTGCAATCAGAGCAAACATGACAACAATGCCCACAGCATCAACACAAAAGATTGTTTAGGAAAGTGTGTGTGGAAGTTTTTCTGCCTTTGAAGGCAATGTTTCTTTCTGTTTTCAGTTAGTTTTCAGCTAGTGAATATGAATAAGTATTAATTCCCCTTCATCATTGTGAATGAATACCCATCAAATTAGGTCATGTGAAGCTGCCTTCAAGCAGAGGGAGACTGTTTAAAGATGTCCCATAGTAACAAAGAGAAAAAACAAGTGCATAATTTGCTACAACCCAGTTGGCAAAAGCTTTTGAACTCATTTGTAGAAGCAGGTGGACGCTGGGAATTACAGACTAATGTGAGTCCTGCATGTCTATGTGTGTAAGAGGCTAATGTGCAAACTAATGAGCTATTGTTACTGCAAGGCAGCTCAGGATTCTTTGTCACTCTTTACTTTGCATAAACACTGATTTAAACTCCATCACAGCTACTGTCCGAATGCATTTCAGTAGATGTGCACTCCAAAAGTAGGAATAAGTAGCAATGATGGTAACCAAATGCCCGTGAAATAAGAGGCCAAACAGGAACACTTGTGCTGAGAAGTTGTATAAGCTTTGATCAACTCGTTCCTTTTATTTTCATAAGACATGAAGCAAGTTTAAGTTGATACATGATTACAGCTCAACATTTAACCTGCCTAAATAAATTATGTATTACATCTTCTTTTCATAAAAAGGATATTGCTGTTTAAAACCAAAATAAAACGCTCTCGTGGGTATGTTTGAAAGGTCCTGGATAAGACAACAACTGTGTATTTGACTGAAGCATGCAGAGGAAACAAAGAAATGAGCCTTGTGACATCTCACATGTGAAGGCAGTTAAGCAAAATCATGAACTGAGAAGGAACATGCAGAACAGTAAGTGATAAGCCAGTCAGATTTAGCGAAAAAAGTTAAATGAAAGACAGAAAATAAACAGACACAGAAGCAGCACTTAGATCTTACAGGATTAAAACTGAGAAATCTTCCAAGAGGGGGTGAAAAGACAGGGATCAGATATGGTGTAGTGTGAAATCAGAGGGAAGTTCTTTCTCAAAATCCTTTATTAATCATGGGGATTATCATGCAACACACTCAGTCCGGCCTGACTGATCAAGGCTTTGTTACTTTTAAAGAATATCGGTACCTTTCAGTATGCTGAGTATAAGGTTCACTGTGTGAGTGAAATTTGTTTCATCTTATTGATTTTGAATCAGAACAGCTTTTCTGACAAGACCTGAAACCAAAATATGCTAATTCAGCTGCACAGTGTTTGATTAAAAATATGGTGCATTAAACTTCTAAAACTCTTTGGATATTAGCTCCATCAAACAATGTTTTATCAATGAAATCATCAAAAGAACACTTGCCACTGATATTAAGTCCAGTTCTTTTGGCATTAACCCCTTTCATAATGCCATCTCTTATAATCCTCAGATTCACTCTGATATCAATATATGACATAGCTTTATAACAGTCGCCTAGGTGGAAAAAGTACTACTTTAAGCCAGTCAAACAGTTATTTGTATTTAGATCATTCTAATAATAAAGAGCAAGATATGTGCTCACTCACAAGAGAAGTGAAGAAACTGTGACCCAGGAGGGGAATAAGAGGGATAAAGGCGGTATGTCACAAGACAATGCACTCAATGGCAAAGCAGCACTGGCTGTTTTCCTGAACTACAGCAGACCGACACGTTTCTGCAAGCATGTGTGTGCAACCATTTGTGCATCTGAGTGTTTATGATCCTAAACTGACATCAAAGCAGAGTTACTGTTTTTAATTATGTTATACTAAGCTTTAGGATAACAGAAAAAGAGTCATGCAGGATATTAATGAGGAGTCATGTGTTCCCATTTAGCCACTGGGTCTCTTGAGAAAGCTGGGTCTGTGAAGTGTTAGTGCTGTGTTTCTGTGCTGTGTTTAGTGTATATAACTCAGAGCATGTAAAACCATTCTAGCTCATGGGTGCAACACTGCTAAAGACTCTGTACAAATCTACAAAATGGGTGCTTGCGCAGCTAAAAGTTAGGGCTTCACACTGAAACATACACCTGGAAACCCACCCAGGCAACACAAGTGTGTCCTCCTTGGAGACACATGTCCATGTGGAGCTCTGTATTCCTTTTCAGTTAAAAAACAAAGACAAAGAACACACACGTACATTTATACACGTGAACACACTTGTAGTAACCAACTGGAGGATTACTGGCTGTGTAGAAATCATACCGTTGAGACAGCCACCTCACTACGTTGTAACAACAAAACAGTGAGAAAGCGTGCTTCCTTCTTGGCTGAGAGTGTAAGTGGTGGTTTATGCGTGTTTCTCTGAACATGTGAGAATTTCCTTCATTCATTGAGTACTTCCTGTGTGTGCAGAGCTGAGAGTCACGTAGTCAAAGACACCAAACGCGCTTCATGAAGATTAAAAAAAAAAACAGCGATAAAGACTGCCTTATATAAGTGTTAATAAAATGAATGAACTTGAAAAAGCTGGATCACAGCAGTGAACAGATCCTAATTAATTGTAAAATTACACAGGCTAGGCTGATATGGCTTAACAGAGAGACTTTTTCTACAAACCACACATTAATAGCACTATTACCATTGAAGCCAAAAAAGCAGTACCTGCCAAGTTACGACTTAGTGCTCACAAGCCCTTTATCTGCGAGGCAGTCAGAGGACAGCAGGTGCATGACCATGGCTGTCAGAAACTATGCAAGAAAAGAAAGAGGACGCAAAGGAGCTCCTCGTGTTTGACAACAGCTCAAACAGACATGAAATCAGGAAAATTAAGAGGGGTCTCTGTTACCGTGGAAACTGACCTCTTTGTTTCGGAGTTTGCTGTCACATCCTTTAAAGTAGCTTAGAAAAGACGAGCCAAACGTTCACGCACACGCAACACACAGCTCCTCAGTGATTTAATGAGAGTCATAACAACACAAGCTTCCAAATAAAGCCCTCCAATCGGCTAAATCCAGCGTGGTGAAGACAGAGAGAAACAACAGAGGGTTACTTCGGAGTGAGCTTGTCTACAGACTACCCATCTCGAGTGAACACTTGGGTTAGCGTTTACCTTATCTGTCCTCAGAAGAAGCCCCTCTGTTTTAGGCAGCATATCCCTAAAAGGTATTGGTGGCCATCTTGCTTTGCCTTCCCCCAGCCTCAAGAAAACGCAGGCTACAGTAGCCCTGCACAGGGCAAGCACCCGGGTGTCATGACTAAGGCGACTGTGAGCGGCTGTGGTAAAGTGCTGCGACAGCAGCAGAAGCGTACACACGCCTTACACACACACACACAGACATATAGACACACACACATATGGGATGCCTTTCGCAGATGCAGACAGAGCCTCATCAGCCAATGGCGTGAGGACCTCAGCGGCTTGTAAATTATCTTCCATGCCTAGAGTCTCCTAAACAAAGGATCCCCTATGTGGGCTTTTTACTCCAGCCCTATGCACTGTGATAGGAGGAAAGCTGTGGAGCGGACACTGCACACACGCTGGATCTGGATCACGGGAAAACAACTCTATCATCACTGAGATATTAACCCACTCATGTGCACTGGAAACACATTGTGGACATCTTTGACTATTTGTTAGACCAAATAGACATTATTTCCAGCAAGCCTTATCCAAATAAAAAATGACTGAGATATGATGTGTTTGACCCTTTTACTTGGAAAAATTAAGCTGGGAAAAAGAAATTTGTTGGGTCACAAATGCTTTAAGAATGCACGTGGTAAAAATATTTGGTCTCTTCAAATCACATGACATTTAAAATGATCAGCAAGCGCTTGTGTGACTTCCTCCCTCCTACTTCAACTACTCCCATTGAGTTTGAAGGCATGTGATCTGTGATAAGGAAGTGTTGTAGTCTGCCCCGTGCATGGGAAGCAAGTAGAATTTTGCCATTCGAAATGGTTCCACATAGTGACAGACGCGTGGCAGTAAAACTGTCTGCAGCATCGCCAACTCCCATGTGAATCCATACTGCTCTTTCTTTTTCCTTAACAGCCTCCACAACACTTCCCCTCATTCTCCCTCATGCAAGCCTAAAGTTTCTCTCCCTAAGCGACTCCCTAAGGAAAAGCTGTGGTTTGAGAAAAACAGGAAGATATAAAGTGTAAAACAAAGATAGAAAGTTGTTATGAGAGGCTAAAGCATGTATTCCTTTTAAAGACGGCCATGTGGCCAAGCAACAGGGGTCATACCAGGACAGGGAAACACAAAGTGAAGTCAGAGCCAGCCTTTAACAATCCAGCAACCAGCGACTAACGTGTGTTCCATTGTGGAGGCACAGATCATTCAGGCTTAACTATAAAACAGCTGTGTATTGAGCCTACAATAAACTTGGCTGGTCAATAAATAATAAACAAGGCTTACCATGTGGCATATTATGTGGTTTAGATAAGAGGTTATCCTTTCATATCCATTTTAAGCGATATTAAGCGTCACACAGAAAATTGTAAAACCTTTAGTGCCGTCTCAGAGGGTGAAGTGTGCTGTATTCTGCTCTGCAAAGCTGGAGAACCTGTCAGTTAGATAGCTAGATGCTTATAACTTATCAAAGTCAAACTCCTGCACGGTGTGGCGGCACGTGCAGTTTGACAGGAATTATTTTCAAGCCTCAAACCCAAAAACTCTGGAGTAAAGCCAGACAATAAATGTCTGTAAGCGTTTATATACAGAGATGTTTCGTTTGTACATTTTGTTGATTTGTGTCCTACAACTGGTAGAATCTTATAGGTTGTTTCTGACAATAACTTGAGCTAAGTTGACTGATTATTTAGGTAAGCAAACAGAAGTTATCTTACAAACACATTTGTGGGGAATAAAGATGTGTGGGAATAAACCTTAATCCATAACTCAACTCACTTGAGTACTGTCATTAACTGGAAAATCCAGTACACATAAATGCAGCTGACTTCCAGCTAAGAGTTCACAGGGATATCCAAAGCAACGGACATATCCAAGTCAAAGCACAGCCACTTAATTGCATCCATTTCCCACATGTGCTACACCCAGCATAAATCTATCATGAGTTTCACCAAAAAAAGCACTCTTAGTGTTATTTAAAAAATAACACTAAAAAAACTTACTTCAATTTGGTGGCTTCTTGGTGTTAATCCTTGTGACAGTTATGACTGAGATCCACTCTGAATAGAAACATGACAGGCAGCCTAACAGGTCTGCCATCAGAAACAGGTTGCACGGACCCAAAGGATAACACAATCTCATGTCAGGTATTGTACACACCCAGTCAACGGCTGCCGTGTTTTTAATCAGTCACCATGTGCTGCAGAGGTCTTTGTGCCATTACAAATAACACAACACAACATAGGAATGTGTGGATAGAATGTGCTTAGTATCATATTTCTGTCTGACCTTACCGTACATATCAACCTTCAGACCATTCCTCATCCCGCAGCCAATCCATTCCATCGTCCACAAATGCTCAACAGAAACTAACAATATTCCACTGCACCCTTCATTTTCAGCTCTTTCTGTGTCCCACATGTTTCTCCTCTTTAACAAGCAGCCAGCTCTCGTTAGGAGCAAGAAGTCTGGACATTAATCACCCTAATTTACTGTACACAAGTGTAGTAAGCGAGGTAAAGAAAGTCGTTCTCTGCCACAGCCATAAAGTGTCTCTGACACATGTGGAGGCTGACCCACTGGAGACCAGCCCAGTGATGGATCAGTGCCAAACAGAACTGCTGCCAAAGGTTGTCATTACAACCATTACTGTAGACACTAATGTAAACTTGTCTCTCATCTGCATGAAAATGCTTCAGATCTCTGATGAAGGTCAGCGGTTTGAGGGATTTTCTTCTCTTCTCTTTCATGAAGTGCTACCAAAGGCCTTAAAGAAAAGCAAGTCGCACCATTCAAAACAGAGATGTACTCTGTATGTGTGTGTGCATGTGCTGGAGGGGCTGAAATAAAGGCTAACTGCCATGGGAAAATGGGAAAACCTGACACTGTGCTCGGACCTGCCCCCATGCTGCTCATCCTGTTGAAGCATGCTCACTCACACACCTCTTTGCAAGGGTCAAAGGCCAAAGACCACCAAACAAACATTTTGAGACTAAAAAGTCATCTTTGTGCCAAAAATCCGATTGTGAAAATTTCCTCTCATTAAAGTCTGTTACCTCAGAGGAGAGCAGTATGGCTCACGTGCAGGAGACCCAAGAGACTGCTCAGATATCAGAGTCCTTTCTCTTCCACAAAAACATCTGCAGAGTCGGGGGCTATGTCTAAATGCCTACACAGTGACTTTCTGCTCCTTTCTCTACATGCTCTCTGGATCCCTCACAAACACATCCATGGTCTTGCATACACAAACAGCAATGCATGTTTGTAGCTGTCATGCTTCCTGTCTGGATAGTTTATTACCCATGAGTGGGGCTATTTTAAGGACACAATAGATCTTAGCCTCTCAGTTCCATTTCACATGCAGTCTTATGCAAAAACTACAATTCCACTCTTGGCAGGAAATGTGCACCAGTCAACACCACACCCTAAACCCACATGGACTTAATTTAGAGGCTGACAACAGTTGGTCAGTATGACAGTGCAGCAGTCCGCCACATTTATGTCCCCTTTAGTCAAAAGACAAAGACCGAACTTAAAACATGTGTACATGTCAACCAATGAAAATCGTTTTAATGTCTTTCGATGAATGTGTCAGCCCGAAGACAATAGATAACAAAAACACACTCAGCCCTGCCGTGTTGCATTGCAGAGGAGGTTGTCAAGGGTTTAACCTTGAGAGAAGAGTTAATAGAGAAGGTTGAACAGGTCCCTCAGTAAACAATGATGCACATGCACACACACACAGATCCAAAAACATGCCCAAACACCATGCAGGCAGAGCAGGATGGGGGCCTCAGATCCCCTCACAATGAGACAGGAAAAGGCTTACTTAAGTTTGCGCTACTGCAACATGCTGAGTAGGCATGTTGGCCATATGACCACATGTGTGTGGATGTACACACTGGTATACACACACACACACACACACAGATGGAGGGATATTTGTAGACAGATACGTGGGGGTGCATGAAAGAGTGACTGCACACGCTGCGTAGACAAAGAAAGACCAAAGTGAGATTGAAAAAAAATAGACAAACTCATTAATGAACATTTATGATTAATGTTTTTTTTTATTTTATACAGAAGTCCACCTAAAACAACACCCTGAAGGAGGGTGGCTGACTTTTTCTTCAGGTGTATAGGCTTCATTCTTAAATTCGGCAAGTTAGGTTGATGCATGAATAAGCTCTGGGTTCTCCAGAAGGAGGCCATTGTGTGCCCTTGGCAGGATTTGAGTGGCATTTCTTTTAGGGGGGCAAAGTAAGGATTTCTTTTCACCCAGAGAAACCAAGTGGCACGACTTCAAAGCTTTTTCAAGGACTTAGAGCCACACAACAGTCAGAAAACGCCACAAACTCACAGATGCAAGAAATCTAAGAAGGCTGAGCAGTGAAGCATTGGAAGTATTAAGGTTTAGATTGTAAATATGGCAGTAAAACACTTAGCAAGTGTCATATGAGTGTACAATTGGGTGCTGCAGCTGAAGCAAACAGCATCTAAGTGAAGTTCCTAGTCAATGATTAACTGTCTATTGTATGTAAGCCTTCGGTCAGTCTGGACCATACATCTGCTCTGATGTAAAGTGGACACTGGCCAGAAAATGAAGCCAGAAATTAAATTAAACAGACATTCCTCTTCATCTACAGAGCTTTTTTCCAGGGACACACCTCTGGCTCTGTTGCTATTAAAGATGACTGCTTCACAGGCTTGCTTTACGTTGGATTGGCTTGTAGCAGGTTGCCTGAAAATACACGGCACTTTAATCATAAGGAAGCTTGTGAGTGTTTAAAAGAGATGTCTTGAGTAGACAAAAACATAACTCACAGTGCTTTGTTTTAATAAGTTGGCTTTGGTAAAAAATGTTGGCAGTATCTCTGATATTTCACGAATCTCCCCTTGCTACCTCGGCCCCCTTCTGTCCCACACATTTACGTCAGGAAAAAAAGAAAATGTAGATATTCACCACTGCCATAGTGCCCACTTTCACAGTGTGTGGAAAACGATGGAGCTTTTTTTTTTTGTTTGTAAAAATGAATTTTCTTTCTGTGACTCACTCAGGAGTGACATGCCAAACTCTATCATAGGGATTTTTATAAGCTCAGATTCAAGAACATTTGAAGTCAGTCTCCACTTGTAAATGTGTTGTAACTGCAGGCCCTTTCTTTCTCTCTTAACAGGGGAGAAATGTAACCCCTAACAACAGACCTGCTATTGTAATACTTTTAAAACTACCTTGAACTGAACCCTTTGGATGGGATTTGCAGCCCTGAACATTTTATTGTTGGTTAAGTGTATTTTAGTATTTTCTTCTTGTCTCAGTCCTCACATTGTTAATCTCCCCAATATCCTATGTAATGTCTCTACTTCTAATTGCACCCCATGAATAGTCACTGCTGTTTGTTAATGCAACATTCAAACACAGATGTTCAATTCTGTTTCCATCTGCTGAGAAGACAATGCACAGCAAGCTGCGGTCAAGCCATCTCAAGAATGAATGAGGAGAGCTGCAACAATAATGAGTGAAATCTGAGTCTGGCCATTACAGCTTCAGTATCAGCTTGTTTCACAGCAGGGATGTTACGAGGCACAAATAAAACCCATTCATACATCTTTGAAGAGTGCAGCCTGAACAGATTTTGAGTTAATACAGCCAAAGTGGACGCCGTGGTCTGACGGTGTGCGTGGACAGCCCTGATCACAGCCATGCTGACACACTGAGGAGGAAAGACCAACTTCAGCAGACTGTTTTATAAACCTGTTGAAATGCAAATGATAATGTTTGAGCATCGTGAAAAAAAGCAGTAAGGCTGTTCCATCATTTCTGGTTGCTGTTCAGAAAAAAGCACCCATGTGCTGGTTAACATGTCAGATAGCAAGGTAGTAATATTGGATCCAAATGTATGCAGGGTACATGGACTGCATGTGAAATGGAACTGAGGTAACATCATGAAGATAGTTAACATAGTAACATTCACAATGAATGTAAAACACAGGTAAGTTAGCAAATCTTTCTATGTTTAATTTAACATCTGTGTCCATTTACTCAGGGTTAATTTTACGTTGCTCCATCCAGTAGTTATGAAAATAAGATGAGTGATAACTTCAAGCAAATGTTCTGTCTTTTTGTCGCTTGCGCTAATCATCCATCTAGAACTATTTTCTGGGTCGTTAGGAAAGTAACTTAGGTGGATTCATTTATTATTTTATTTCTGTTAGTCCACTCAAAACAGTTTTTTGTGAAGTTTGAAAATGGGACTGTTTCATTAGAGTTGCTGATGGTGGGGCTAAAGAGAACTTTAATCCTTTTAGCTAAAATCTTTGTTTATAAGTTTACACAGTTTATAGGAGACACCCATATTGTGCCGCTGTGAACAACATATGTAAAATTTAAGCACAGACAGAGCAGCTGAGCTACAGCTTTGGGTGCAATGTATATTAAAGAATTAGCCCAAATGTTCAGATTAAATATTGCATAAGATAAAACAAGTGTATCAACTACATACTCAAGTACAACACCCTATAGGTTAGATGAGCATTAGAATCATTACCTTTGTGTCCATCCCTTGCATATAACCCCGGCCCCATACTGACCCACACTGAGCTGGACAGTTTAACCTAATTACCTGGATCTAGGTTAGTGAGTTCAGCCTTAAACCCTCAGTGCTACGTGGACCGTTTATCTTCACTAATCCTCATTATGACCCTGAGAATACTGCATCAGACTACCATCGCAGGTCAAAGGTCAACAGACAGACAGATAGGTTGCCATAGCAACGTTTAGTGCTGAGGACCTCTGCTGCTGTCCGTTGAAAGAGGGGGAGGAGGCTTTCAGACCTTGCTAAAGAATATATTGGGGCAAATCAGTCCCTCTTTAAATAGTTTCAATTGTATGAGTTTTCACTCATTTCGCAGTAACGTGTATGGATAGTTAGAAGCAACACACGCACACCCACAGATTTAAAGACCTGTTATAAAGCTGGGTGTACAAAAGCCTTATCCTTGGAACCGACATGTGTGTTTTCCTGAAACACCTGGTATCACAGCTGGGCGGCCCCTCCAACTAACTAATGCACTGCAGCAGAGGCAGGGGGGAGTGGGAGAGCTGCAGGAGATAAATGAGTTTGCAGAAGAAGCTGGACTGAGCGCACAGGCTGACTGAAGGCATGCAGCGAAGCAGCCGTGCCTGGCTGCATCTGTTTTAATGCGCAAAATGTTTCCACTGCTGCGCAATTACAGTGCGACTCAGACTTAGCTAAATTCAGCCTCACCAGGTGCATGGTCGTGATAAATACAGTTACAGATGGACACACCAACACACACAGATAATATATGTGATAGATGTTTCT